CAAACAGATTCAGGGATAGCTTCTTTCCCAGAGCTATCACCGTAGTAAATAAGCACAAAACAATTGAGCCTGCTTAACTATACCATACTTGCCACTGTACTATATTATGCTGCTATTCATACTATCATTATATAAATGTTGCTATTCTGTATATATCGTACTTATTATTGTTTGAGTACTTCGGTTGTTTATTGTACTTTTTATATTTTATATTTAAATTTATTATTGCATTTTGCACCAAGGGAGTGGCACTCCAATTTCGTTGTACCGTGTACAATGACAATAAAGGCTATTCATTCATTCATTCATTCATTCATTCAAATGACTGAATTCAGGTGTTCCAGTCACTTCCATTGCTGCAGATAAATGAGATCAAGCAGGCATCCACACTGCTTCTACAAATATTTGTGAAAGTCGCTCTCAGGAGTTCAGTGAATACCAGTGCGGCACTGTGATAGGATGTCACCTGTGCGAAAAGTTCTGTTGTGAAATGTCCTCTACACTAAATATTACACAATCAGCTGTTAGTGTTATTATAACAAAGTAGAAACGATAGGGAACAACAGCAACTCAGCCATGAAGTGGTAGACCATGCAAACTGCTGACGTGCATAGTGTGCAGAGGTCGGACACTTACAGAGACGGTGCTTGTCTGACCTCATTGAGCCAAGTGTAACGTTTGGCAGAGGCGGGATTATGATGCGGGGTTCAGCCTCTTAGCTCCAGTCGAAGTAAATCTTAGTGCTTCAGCAAACCAAAACATTTTGAACAATTTCATGCTCCTAACTTTGTGGGAACAATTTGTGAGTTTGGTGTAAAGAACTGAAGAAGAGTCCTGACATCTTTAGTATGAATTGAGTGCAAACCTCAAAAACTCTTGAGGAAATCTTGTGGAAAATCTTCCCAGAATAGTTGAAGCTGTTGTAGCTGAAGCTGTTATGGGATAATATATCATATTTAACCAGTGTTGGGAAAGTTACTTTTAAAATGTATTCCAGTACAGATTACAGA